TTTGATCCTCACAGAAGTCCTGGAGTAGGTAGATGGGAGACTTGGTGGAATCCTATTTTCTTTTCATTAGCAAGACGCGAGAATATAGAGATTAAAATATTTCTTCTAATTAATTTCCTTTCAATGTGCACAAATCCGTGCAGCAGGACACTAGTTTATTTATAAAATCACAGAGGTATCGGGCCTAGTAATAATTAATGTCGTTTTTAAACATTCGTTTAAAATCTTGCTTGGCGTTGACTTGTACTGACATAACCTTCAAACACGTGGTATCTACAGAACGTGTGAAGTGCAATTAACAAGTTTTGCTTGAAAAAGTTTGTGTTTGGTTTGGTTTTTGTTGCAAAACTAGGATTAAGAAGATGGCGGATGAAGAGCACATTCGGCACTGCATGCTTTACGAGTTCCAATTAGGAAGAAAAGCAAGTGAGGCTGCAAAAAACATCTGTAGTGCTCTTGGTCAAGATGCAGTTAGCGCCAGAAAATGCCAGCGTTGGTTTGAGAAATTTCGCGAGGGAAATTTTTCGTTAGATGACAAGAGTGGTCGAGGCCGTGTGTCCAATTTTGATCAAGAAGCTCTTCAAGCTCTTTTGGTGCAAAATCCTCAAATTACCCAACAAGAGCTTGCGACAACTTTAAATTGTTCACAAAAAACAATTTCCAATCAATTGCGTGCACTTGGCAAAGTCCAAAAGTTTGGAAAATGGGTTCCTCATGAGTTGACCGACAACAACCGTAATCAAAGAGTCACAATTTGCAGTTCGCTCCTCTCTCGTCAAAACCGTTTGCCGTTTTTAGAGCAAATTGTTCCCGGAGATGAAAAATGAGTGCTGTATGTTAATTTGAAAAGGCAGCCTCAATGGTTGGACAAAAATGAGGCTCCGCAGCCCACGCCAAAACCTGACTTGCATGCGAAAAAAGTGATGTTGTGTGTTTGGTGGAATTTTAAAGGAATTCTTCATTATGAACTTTTACCATCTAACCAAACCATTACAAGTGCAGTGTATAGTGTCCAATTGGAAATGTTAGCCCAAGCTTTAAGAGAAAAAGAACCCGCGCTGATTAATCGGAAGGGCGTAATTCTTCACCACGAAAACGCACGACCGCATACTGCAAGAATCACTGCGCCAGTTGGAATGGGAAGTTCTCCCTCAACCTGCATATTCTCCTGATATTGCCCCTTCCGATTACCATTTGTTTCGTTCTTTGCAAAACTTTCTTCTTGGAAAAAAATTTAATAATAAAGAATGCCTCAAAAATACATTGACCGAATTTTTTGCATCAAAATCACAAGAATTTTACAACAGAGGGATTAAAATGCTTCCTGAGCATTGGGCACAAGTAGTAGAAAACAACGGCAACTATATTGTTGATTAAATTTTGTTGTATTGTTTAAATAAATTCGATTTAAAAAAGGTATTAGAAAACGACATTAATTATTACTAGACCTAATAGAAGTAATTCATAGAAGAAAAGGGCTGAGGAACAAGTTATAGAGGCATAGGAAGGGCCCTAGGAGTTTGGGAGTTTGGGAGTGAGGATGGTAATGGTGAACCACCTATGGAAAGGGGGAGGGAAAGAGGGATAGACAAGGCACTGGCGTGCTTCTGGGAGGGGGAGTGCGCTGGGTCCTCTGTCCTAAGAGTTTTATTTATTTATTATTTAAATATATTTTATTGATTTTTTTTTTTTATTACAGAGAAGAAGGGAGAGGGATAGAGAGTTAGAAATGTCCATGAGAGAGAAGCATCAATCAGCTGCCTCCTGCACACCTCCTACTGGGGATGTGCCCACAACCAAGGTACGTGCCCTTGACCGGAATCGAACCTGGGAACCTTCAGTCTGTAGGCCAACGCGCTATTCACTGAGCTAAACTGTTTTCGGCTGTCCTAAGAGTTTTAAAAGTGGAGATTTTAGGGAAGGTCTCAGAGGAAGATCTTAATAGAATATTCAGCAGCTTTTCAGGTGTGTCCTTTTGAGAGGGTTAACTTGAAATGCAGGCCAATAGGGCAGGGACAGACATGGCAGTTTGAGCCAACCTAACTGCAGGAACCAACCAAGCAAGAATAATAAAATGTTTCTGGACTCAAAGCATGGGAAGGAAGGCATGGGAAACCAAGGGAGGGCCTGCCGTAAACAAGACGGACGAACACACAGAAACAGAAAAAGTTTAGGATAGGAACAGAGAAAGAACGCATAGAGACAGGGAAATTTTAGGTCCATTGCTGGGCAAAAACTATTGAGGGAATCCATCGGGTGATGGCACAGATAGAAAGAGCAGCAGGCTTGTGGCAGATATGCACCCCTGGACGACAAGGCTTTAACGGGCAGCCCATTCTTGGGTCCCCCTCCCCTTGCGGGGATTCTGAATCTGCTTGTAATAAATTTTCCACACTTTTGCTTAAATCTTCTGGTCCGTGTAGCTCATTCTTCAGTGTTTGGAGGCACGACTCTGTGAAAAACACCTTGGCTGGTTATCACTTTCTGGTTATCACTTTCAAGGACCCGTGATTGGTAGGCACCAGGGATCATCAATCAATGCAGCTGGTCCTGAGGTCAGCCATGGCATAGCCAGTTAGGTTTTGCTGCTTTTCTGGGTGTGGAGCTGAAATACACCGGAGGCCTAAATGTTATCTCTAGGAAGGGAAGGTCAATGGGGTCCAAATCACAGAACTAAGGATCAGCTAGGGGAGAAAAGGTCACCCTCGGGCGAGTCCCACCCTGCCTTTGTCCTTTGCGAGGCACCTGGGCTTTCTGGCCTGTTAACCTTCTGTACTTGGCCCATCCTCCTTGTTCTGCTTAGGTATGTCTGTCTAACTACCTACCACAGATGGGCAGATGATCATTATTGAAACTGGCTGGTGGATTCATTATGCTATTTTCTCCACTTCTGTGAATGCTGGGAATATTCCATTGTGCGTGAAAAAAGGGTTCTGCAGAAAACTTCACAGGGTGATATGATCATAAAATGCTAACTGGGAAGATCATGATGGGCATTTAACTTTTTGGTCAAAGATTTATTTTTGCTCTGGCTTTTGTGGCTCAGTTGGTTGGGCATTTTACCATGCACAAAAATGGTCGCTGGTTTTGATTCCTGGTCAAGGGCAAGTACCTCGGTTGCATGTTCAATCCCCAGCCCTGGTCGGAGTACTTACAGGAGGCAGCTGTTAGTGTCACCAAAGGAGGTATACATGAGGCCAAAAGTGGTAAAGAATTTTATAAATTTATTAGATCATCTGGAGACCAGATAGGCTGAGCCCCAAAATGGTACTAGCACCCAGGGTCCGGGAGTCAGATTTTAAAGAACTCTAGGCGAACTTTTTCAGCAGGGAATTCTCTGGGTGTGTCCAGATCCTGGGCAAGTCCGGAGGGGAACGTTACTGGTTCTAGTAAGTGGAATGTGGTCTAAGCAAAAAGGAATGTTGGTTGGAAAATGATCTAAAGGTCAGTTTTCCCAGGTGAGGGGATATAGATTTGATTATTTGGTCAGACCTAACAGCAACCAATTGATATGTCTCTCTCACATTGATGTTTATTTCTCTCTTTTGCCTTCCTTTCCACTCTAAAATCAACAGAAAAATATCCTCACCCTTGAGGGTTAACAAAAATAAAATAAATAAGTAAAATAAGTTTTAATCACCCTCTTAAGAGCATATAATCTTGTTAACTATCCTGTAATCCAGTGTTTCCCAAACTTCTCTCATGATGAGAATCATCTGGTGGAGTTGTTAAAATACAGATTCCTGAATCCCATCTAAGAAGTGCTAGTCTTAGAGCACTAGTTAAGTATACAATTTTACCTATATGTTCCCAAAAATTCTAGTTTAGCACTTCTTAGTTGGGATTCAGGAATCTGTAGTTTAACAACTCCACCAGGTGATTCTCATCATGAGAGAAGTTTGGGAAACACTGCATCCCAGCCCTGCTTTCTTCCACCTTCAGGTAATCTTTCTTAAATTCAATCCTTAATTTCAAATTCATAAAAGAAACCACAAAATTTAATTTTCCAGAGTATTTGAGATCTTGCTTCCCAACAATTGCTGCCAGTTTGGCTCAAATAAACATATATATATATATATATATATATATATATATATATATATATATATATATATATATATATATATTTTTTTTACAGGTTTGAACGTTCTCATCAAGACCATTATGAAAAAAAGAAAAATATGGGCTTTTCAATCACAGACTTTCAAGCCAAAGCCCTGGACGAGTGGTTAGAGCTTGACAGCTGTGCCAAGGATGTGGGTTCCATCCCGGATCGGGGCACACACAAGAATCAACCAAAGGATGCATAAGTGACTGGAACAATAAACGGATGTCTCTCTCTCTCTCCCCTCCTTCCCCTCTCTCTCTAAAAATCAATCAATAAAAATAAAAAATAATGCTAAGCCAGTTATTATTGTGGGTTTCCTCATTAATGAAACAGGTAGATGACAGGGGCACTATAAAATCACGGGGACGCTGTAAGGAGCAGAGCAAGCAGGGTGCCTGAGGAAACACTGCCTTTTTGTGACTGTTATTCCTGCGGCTGCCAACACTAGTTGCCTCCACGACTTTCCTCCTCTGGCTGTGATGGCTTATTTCACTCTCACTCTGCTCCTTTCCCTGGGCTCCTCCCTTCTACGTCCCTCCCTTTCTCCCCGGCCCGGCCTCGATGGTTCGGCCCGGCTTCCCCCGGGGAAACCCCGAGGGGCGGGGCGCCGGGTGTTGGCGGGCGGCTCGGCCCCCTCCCTCGAGGCCACTTGGATCGCTCCGCGTGCGACCCGTGGGCCGTGGGCGTGGGGCGGGGCGCGGGTCCTGGGCTCCGATTGGCCATAAAAAGGTAAACATCCGGTGGGCGGGGCGGGGCCGGAAGTGGGAGCGGAAGGCGGCGGCTGAAGCGGTTCTGGAGGTTCCAGGCTCGGAGCCGCTGCCTCCGGGTGCCATGGGCCGGGCTGAGGCTCGCTGAAGGGACGCGGGGCGCTGAGGGGACTTGGGGCCGGGCCATGGCGGGCGCTCGGGGCGCCGCCGCCGCCGCCGCTTCGGCCGGGTCCTCGACTTCCTCGGGCACCCCGCCGCCGCAGGAGCCTGGGCTCGGGGAGCTGCTGGAGGAGTTCTCGAGGACCCAGTACCGGGCCAAAGACTGCAGCGGGACCGGCGGCTCGAGGGTGAGTCCGCAGGCGTAAAGAGCAGGGGAAGGTTCCTGGGTTTGGAGAGTTAGGCGGGAAGGCTGAGGTTAGGGGTCAGAGGAAGGAGGAGAGGTCCCAGGACTTGGATCCGGAGAGTAAGGGGTCAGTGTAAAAACCCAGAAAGGAGGAACCGAGGTCAGTCTGTAGCAAGGAAGAAAGTCCTTTCGGTTTGAGACGGGGGTTTTTGGAGGTCGGGGATCAGAGTGAGGAACTGAGGAGGGTTACTCCCCTGCATCCGGCAGGGACAAAATATTTCCAAAAGTCTAAGAGTATTCCTCTGGTTCAAAGGTCAGAATGAAGGAGCTGGAGTAGTGGGGCTGAATGGGAGTCAAGAGATGAACTACGTTGCCTCCTTATACTGTCTCCTACACAGCCTGACACTAAAAGTGGGCCCATCCCTTTCCTTCCCCTATAGAGCCGAAGCACAGCCCACACACTCACTGTTCCTTTATCAAAAGCAGGCTTCAGTTCCTCTTTTCTCTACCCTTCATTCTCATTGCCAGACCTGGATGAAAGCTGTAATCCTCTCTTCAAATGCTTAACAATTTCACTGCAACATTGAGGGGTTCAGTGTCCCTCCCATTGGAGGGACCAGTTAACACATTGATTAATAATAACCAATTAACAAATTGGTTAATGAACCTCACAGTTAGGGCCTGTGACCCTGTAGTAGGTCTTTTCCTGGCATTGAATAATAATCACAGAGGTATATGTCATTTTCAGTGACCTCTCCAGGTCATAAATCACCCAATTCTCACACCCTAGAATCTTCCTTGTACTCAGGTCTCTTCCTTTGTGCAGGTTGAGCGCATTGAGAAGAGGTGTCTGGAGCTGTTTGGACGAGACTACTGTTACAGTGTGATCCAGAATGTGAATGGGGATATCTGCGGCCACTACCCCCAGCACATCGTGTTCCTGGAGTACGAAAGTTCTGAGAAGGAGAAGGACACGTGAGCATCATGTGACCAGGGTGGGCCTGTCTAGGGAGACCTGTCTGGGGAGACTTGGGAATTCTGCAGCTGAGCAGAATACTGGGCTAGGCAGACTTACTTTCCCCACATGTTAAGCACAATCCACATCTTTGTTTACTTCAGGGTTTGATTGGTAAGTTTGGCAAGGCAGCATGGCGTAGAATGGAGCTTGGGAGTCACAACCCTGGACTTCATTTCACTCCCATTCTACATCAGCTAATTGTCCTAAGACTGTTGACTTCACACCTCATCTCTCTGAACCTGTGTCCTTTTTTAAGGGAATGTGGATGTATTAATGTGCTTATAAGCCTGACTGAGGTCTCCAGTCTGATTGCTTGAGTTTACATGCTGGCTGCCTTATTTGCTGGCTGGGTAACTAACTTGGGCAAGTTACTTCTTTGTTAGTTTTCTTACTGGTTAAGTGCACCTCTTTAGAAAAGTGGCTAGTGCTATCCCTGATAAAGAATGTGGCTCTTATAAGCCTGGCATGTGTGTTGTGAGAATTAGAAGTAAGGGCTACCACTTACTAGTATTTAGGGCCTACCTAGGTCTGAGTGCTTTCGTACGAGAGCAAACACAAAGCACCTGGCCCAGGCTGCAAGCTGTAAGTGATCAGTAAATGGTAGCAGTGGTTTGACACTAAAAAATAATCACAGCACTTAGGCTCTAGGAAGTGCTTTACGTCAATCACAAAGTTTGTTTCACTTGTTTCTCTGCTTGTTGTGAATTTTAAGGGAATTCTGGGAGCTGTTTGCAACAATATCTATGGAAGCCTGGCCCCATGAATGCCAGCTACACTGGATTCACGCTGTAAAGTGTAGCAGGCCATCAGTGCATCCAGAAACTGGCTAGAGACTCTGAATCAGTCAAAATCACAGCATAACAAGATGCTCCAGTGATTGATTTGCTCGTTAAGGTTTGAGAAATGCTATTGTAGGCCTACCAGCAGTCTGGTGTGGCCCCATGGTGGAGATCCTTTTCAGCTGGCATTGGAAGGATGAGTAGGGGTGTCCCTGAAATGCCCTTGGGGCCCAGCTTGTACAGGGTCCTGTTCATCAGGCCAAGGAAAGTGGATCTGAGGGTGTTAGTGATTTTATTTCCTAGCATCCCCACAGATTCTAGGACCCCTGAATCAGACTTTCCAGAATCTACATTCTCAGATTGCTCCCTGGATCAGTCTTACATACGCCATAGCCTGAGAACCACTGCTGTGGACCATCGGAAGGCAAAGAAGGCTTTCAAGCAGAACAACCAGTTTGGAGGAGTTGAAGGATAAGCTTTAGCTTTCTCACCTGTGAAGTGGGATGTCCATAAGTGTCCCATATCATGTGCTTATTGTGGCGGGGTTCACTGAGAAAAATGAATGCATTAGAAAAACAAATTATATGTAGATCATAGAAATTGTGTCGTAGCCCCTGTTGTATAACCCAAGAACTCCAGTAATCTCTAAGCCTAAAGTTTCTGAAAAAGAGCTCTTTTTTTCCTTGCCCTCGCCCTCATTCCAACTGTCTTCAGTGCTGACTGGTGGTTTTACAATGGCATTAAGGTACTATTGATAAGTTCAGCTGTAGTTCATTTTTTTTTTTTTTTTTTAACTCAGCTGTAGTTCAGATGGTGCTTTTCCAGCTTGATTTTTGTGAGTGAATCACCTGAAGCTCTAGTTCCAGTGCAGAATCTGACTCGGTAGCTCTAGAGTGGGGCTGAGCTGCGTTTTCTAACAAGCTCCAGGTAATGCCAAAGCAGCCTGTAGCAGCAGTTCTCTAGGAACTCAGTCTTGGTTGCCTCACGGGAGCTTTTCTGGGAAGGAAATAAGTTTAGTGCTGATTCATTCTAGCCCTTAAAGAGAAGGAAATGAATGTTTGTCAAGTGCCCACTGTTTGGCACATGTTAAGAGTTTCAGACACTAAAGCCCTGTAGCCATGTAGTGAAAAGGATAGTATCACCTCCATTGTACAGAAAAAGGAAATTTATTTTTATTTTTAAATTTGTAAAAACATATATTTTTTTTATTGATTTCAGAGAGGGAGAGAGATAGAAATATCAACGATGAGAGAGAATCATCGATTGGCTGCCTCCTGCAAGTCCCACACTGGGGATCCAGCCTGAAACCTGGGCACATACCCTCACGGGGAATTGAACTGTGACCTTTTGGTTCATAGGTCGATGCTCAACCATTGAACCACACTGACTGGGCCAGGTCTTCTTCACCCTCTCGGTCCCCGTCTGCCTTTTTTTCCTGCCATCATCAGGGCTTTCCCACCTTGTCTAGTGAGTGTCCCCTGTCAGGCCAGGGAGACTGTGGTACATCCCTGTTCCTGGAGTTTGTTTTTCCCTTTCACTCCTTGGCCAGGACTTGAAGTGATACTGAGCGGGTGATGCCTGATTGATGAAGTGAAGGGAATATAAGCATGTTTAGGTGGGAAGTAGAAAATTTTGCTTCTTTACATACTTGGCTTTGGTGTTAATATGACACTAATTAGTCTGAGTACACAGGGTAGAATTGGATTAAGGAAGTGGTTAAGTCTGCTTAACACACCTCCCCAGTTTAGCCCGTGATGTGGGAATAGAAGCCTGGACATGGATCTCTGAACAGCCAAGACATAATGCTTATCAACAAATGTTTGTTGAGCTATTGCCACGTGGCAGATCTAAGGGATCTGTTTGAAGTCTTATCAGGTAGGTGAAGTCCCTATCCTTAGGTCTAGCGGGTACCATAGACCCAAAAATTAACAATGACAGTGTGATGATCCAGAACTAGGGAAATATAATGAGGCATGGAGGGTAGTTTTGTACCCTTTTCCATTGTGTATCCTGCAGTTCAACTCAGTAATGACACTACCCAGAGATGTATCCATAGGGTAAAGACTCAGTCTGCAAAACAAACCTACACTTATTCATTCAAATACAAGTCATATGCCAAACAATTGAGTGCTTAGCACTGTAAGAAAAAGATCCTAAGGCCAAGAGAGAATAAAAATAAAAACAGGAACTTTGGAAAGAAACCAAGCTGGTCCTTTGAGTAGGAGAACCAAGAAAATAAACCACCAACTAGCCTAACAAGAATAAATATGCCCGCCCCTACGTTAAAGGCTGCACAGAACCCCTAGCAGGGAAATGCTGGCATGCTCTCCACCTTGGTTTGCAGAGAGTATACTCAGCGGCAGGATTCAACCTGGGAGAATCAAATGTATCTAGAGCACAGAGGGAACTGCTGGTGTGAGCTGAAGGAGAGTCAGTTGGGGATCTACTGATTTCATGCGATTTGAAAGGGGTGTGACTTGCTGTAGCTCATTACTATGCCTGACTCTTTCTAGAAGCTCCCTTAGCAAACCCCTGCAGTAACTACTATGCTTCTCAGTGTCAGAAATGGCTTCTCTTTCTCTCTCTGTTCCAGCAAAAATGGCCCTATGTCTTCAGAGTAGCTGACTTTCCCCCCCCCTCATTTTAAAGGTTCTGAAGTCAAGATGACTTAAATTTTAATACTTATGATACAGCATTTTTTTTTCTTTTCCTAAAAAATCACACACATAATCCAGGATCTGGAATTTAGAGATTAGAGCACTTAGTAAGCTTCAAATGCGTATTCACATACACAGGCAGACCTACCATGGGGTCTTGGTAAAAACAAGTGCACACATGCATGCCCCCTCAGAAACCAGCCTGACCTGCCTCTCTCGTCTGTGCGCCAGGTTTCAGAGCACTGTGCAAGTGAGCAAGTTGCAAGACCTTGTTAACCGCAGCAAGATGGCCAGATGCAGAGGACGGTTTGTCTGCCCAGTGATCCTGTTCAAGGGCAAGGTAAGGCCACACAATAGCCTCACACTCCCAAAGGCCCTCTTCTGGGTACCTGGTTTAATGCAAAGTGTAGGGTAATTTTGTTCTTGGCCTTTGCCAGCCGAGAATTGGTGGTTACTGGGTGCCAGGTGCAGGCCAGAGAATCAGACCAATTCTGATAACCACCTTCAAGAACGGTCTGGGGCCTGGCCACTGTAGCTCAGTGATTGAGTGGCAACCTATGAACCAGGAGGTCACCTTTTCTTGGGGAACATGCCCAGGTTGCTTGCTGGATCCCCATTGTGGGGCATGAGAGATAGCTGATCGATGATTCTCTCTCATTGTTGATGTTTCTCTCTCCCTCTCTCTCTCTTCCTCTCTGAAATCAATAAAAAAATAGTAAGTCTAGGTAGGGAAGGAATAGTCACATCAGAGTGCCCCACACTGTTTTGTAGCCAGACTGCCTAGGTTCCGACCTGCCTGTGCAAGGCTGTTTTTTCCTCTATAAAATGGGAATAATAATCATGTCTACATCAAAGGTTCATGGAGTAGATTAGATCAAGTCAGTTATGACATTATTGTTTATTCATTTTTTTTCAATCATATAAATCATTAAGTACTTATTAAATGTGTACTATATTCCATGCACTGCTTCATGCCTTAGGTTACATCAGTAGTAGACAAAATTCTTTACCCCCATGGAGCTAATATTCTAGTGACTGTTGTTGATTTGACTCCCTTCACCTTTCTATAATTCTTTGACATAATTGATATTCTCATAGTGCAGATGAGACTCAAAGAGGTTAATAACTTCCCCAAGTTTACTTTAAACAACTAGAGAGCTGGGATTTAAACCTATCCCAAAACTTGAGGCTACCACTCTAAATTAGAGTCCCAAGGTGTGTAAGAGGAGCTCACCAAAGAGGGGCAGCAGTGTGGACTGGCTGACTGTGCCTCGTTAAATGTGGAAGACTCAGTTTGAGAGCACTGGAAGATAAGCAGAATAAGCATGGGCAGGAGGAGTGGGAGGGTGTTCCAAGCAGGTGATACAGCCCGGGAAAAGGCATGGAGGCAGGAAACCTGACTGGAATGGAAGGTCCGAGTAGGAGCTAATTGAGTACAGGAGGCTAACCTGACCAAGTTGTTTGTGTTGGCCAGGAGAGCCACAGTGATTCTTGAGCAGACAAATACAAGACAGAAGTATCATTTTAAGGAAGATTCATTCGTCCAGGAATAGTGAGTGCAGTCATTTAGCAGGTGTCTGAGTGCATGCGCCATAGCTTTCACCCTGGTAGCTTACAGACTCCAGCTGCAGTTACCTAGCATGAGTGGTCAGGGATTAGTGTGGACAGTGAGGAAGAGGGATATTTCTGCCCTTTTGGGTCTTTTCTTTTGCAAAAACGGGAGAAGGGCAAATGGGAAAGGAGAGATAAGAAAGGGAGATTTAGCTAAAGGCTTCCTTAGAAAGTTTTCATGTTCCTGGGAGTTTCCAGAACTCTTTCTTTTTAAAAAAATCTTTACTGTTGAGATTATTACAATTGTTCCTCTTTTTCCCCCCCTAGCTCCCCTCCACCTAGTTCCCACCCCCCCTCTCTACTCTTACCCCCCCCCCCATCCTCATCCATAGGTGTATGATTTTTTTTTCCATACCCCTTTCCCCCCTGAGAATTGTCAGTCCACTCCCTTTCTATGCCTCTGGTTTTATTATATTCACATTTATTCTGTTTATCAGATTTTTTATTCACTTGATTTTTATTTATTTTTTTATTCACTTGATTTTTAGATTCACTTGTTGATAAATATGTATTTGTTGTTCATTATTTTTATCTTTTTACCTTTTTCTTCTTAAAGAATACCTTTCAACATTTTATATAGTACTGGTTTGCGGTGATGAACTCCTTTAGCTTTTTCTTATCTGTGAAGCTCTTTATCTGACTTTCAATTCTGAATGATAGCTTTGCTGGGTAGAGTAATCTCGGTTGTAGGTTCTTGCTATTCGCCACTTTGAATATTTCTTGCCACTCCCATCTGGCCTGCATAGTTTCTGTTGAGAAATCAGCTGATAATTGTATGGGTGCTCTCTTGTAGGTAACTGTTTTTCTCTTGCTGCTTTTAATATTCTCTCTGTCTTTTACTCTTGGCATTTTAATTATGATATGTCTTGGTGTAGTCATCTTTGGATTCCTTTTGTTTGGTGTTTTACATGCTTCCTGGACTTGTAAGTCTATTTCTTTCACCAGGTGGGAGACACATTGATTTTGGTTGCTTCCCGCAAGCACTCTGACTAGTGCCAGTCTACTATGGGAGAACTGCTGTGCTGGAGACACCCTTATGAGACAAGTCTTGCAAAAGCCTCTGTGCTCAGCTTGGATGGGGCGGAGTCTCAGGGCAGAGCAGACAGCAATGGCTCCCTGTCAGCCCTGCCCTAAGAGGCCCCTGGGTCTCAGTGTCCTGCAGTAATCGCTGCAGGCACTTCTGAGAAAAAGCCGCCTCAAGTTTCGCCCCCTGCTAGGCAGTCCAGCTTCTCCCCGAATGAGTCTGGATCCCAAGAGTTTCACCTGGAACTGGAGTTCAGAACAGTTGGGAGCTTTTGTCTCCCTCCCTATTGAGAAAGCCAACTGAGTACTCAATTGCCAGCCCTCTCAGCACTCGAGCCTCTCCTCTGAGTCTCGGTGTGCTTTTCTCTCCTTCTAGTTGTAGAATTTCAACTCAGCCAGTCTTCCTGTGGTTCTAGATGATATCCATTTTGTCTCTTAGTTGAAGTTTTGAAATTGTTGTGCAAGACAGCAGTTTAGATGTTTACCTATGCCGCCATCTTGGTTTCTCCCCAGAACTCTATTTTAAAGATCATTGCTCTATGGAGCATAGTGCTTGTTACTAGAAATTACACAGGAAATACTCAAACCACTGTTTCTCCAAATGTGTTCCATAGAACTGTAGTTTAATAATGTATTTGAAAAGCATTCCCTGTCCAACAAGAATGAACAATATTGCATACTAGGTTTGGCCTGATCCACAAGCTCCAGATTCATAAGGTATGTTGATATGCAAATATTAACGCATAAAGACTCTGAGAAGCCTTGTAGCAGAGAGGCCTGTGTAGCTTTGTCAGGTCTGGTATGTCTCATTTGTCTGCAGATCATGAGTTAGGAACTTCCCTGAATGCATTTGGGAAATACCACCCTGAGCAGCTTAGTCTAGTGGGGTTGCTGAATAACAGATTGTAGCACTTAACAGGCTAAACAGGCCTGCGAGAAAGGAGCCTAAGACAACTGATTTCAGAGGGAGGTAGTGAGTTGGAGGGATTATTGAGGAGGCTTTGGCATTCTTAAATCTTTACGAGGGCTTTTCCATTAATCTTGCTCTCTTCCTTTGCACCTTCTTGTCTAAGCAGTGTGATACCATTTTATGCTCCTTAGCTTCCCCTGACTCAGTCAGTCAGTGTTTACTTAATACCTACTTAGGTGTGTTTTATTCTAGTTGTGTGTTTGAATGCCTGTCATTTCCCTCTCTCTGCTGTAATCCCTCTGAGGGCAGTGTTCTTGTCTTACTGCTGTCTTCCCAGCACCTGGCAAAGTGCCCTCTGGCTTGTACATACAGGCTCAACAGGAAGGTACTGCTCTTGGATGTAACAGTAGCGGGCCCTCTGCTCCTTTCTAGACGGACAGCAGAATGAGACAGTCCTTGTCCTCATGCAGCTCAGTGAGTGGGGAAGGAAGACTAGTGAGCAAGCAATTAGAGACTGGGAAAAGTACATGCGTGTCTTCTTTTGTGTAATGGGGATGTGGTCCTCAGAAGTGTGGCACTCATCGGGCACTCGGTTACTAGGGCAGTGATGGCAGTCTTTATTGCCAACAGTGTACTTCAGGGGCAGCTACCTCTGCCAGGCTGGGGAAGGGAAATATGTTAAGTGCTTCCTTCCTGCTTCCTTGCTGATATTTTTCCATTGATTTTCTGATATATATATATATATATATATATATATATATATATATATATATATATCAGAGAACAAGGAGAAGGAGAGAGAGAAACATTAATGATAAGAGAGTCATTGATCAGCTGCCTCCTGTATGCCCCTTACTGGGGATCAAGCCCTCAACCTGGGCATGAGTCCTGGACTGCAATCAAACCTGGGACCCTTCTGTCTGCAGGCCAGTACACTATCCACTGAGCCAAACCAGCTAGAGCTCCATTGATTTTTAGAGAGAGTGGAAGGGAGGGGGAGAAATATATAGTGAGAAACATCTATGTGAGAGAAACACATTGATTTGGTTGCTTCCCGCAAGCACCCCGACCAGTGCCAGGATTGAGCCTGCAATCAGGGTATATGCCCTTGACCGGAATTGAACCCAGGACCCTTCAGTCTATGGGCCGATGCTTTACCCACTAAGCCAAATTGGGTAGGGCTATTTTATTATTTTTAAGTAACGTATAATGGACACATAACATTCTATTAGTTCAGGTGTTCAACATAATGACTCAATCTTTGTATATTTTGCAAAGTAATCACAATAAGTCTATCTAGCTTACCACACATAGTTAACAGTATTTTTTTCTTATGGTGGGAATTTTTAAGACCTATGTCTTGCCGGCCAGTGTGGGTCAGTGGTGGAGCTTTGACCTATGAACAGCTTGATTCCTTGTCAGGGCACATTGCCTATGTTGTTGGCTCAATCTCCAGTAGGGGGCATGTAGGAGGAAGCCAGTCAATGATTCTTTCTCATCATTGATGTTTTCTGCCTCCCTTCCTCTCTGAAGTCAATAAAAATACATTTAAAAAAAATCTACATCACTCTCAAATATGCAGTACAGTGTTATTAACTCTAGTACCATATTGTACATTACATCCCCGTGTCTTATTTATTTTATAACTACAATTATTTTTTAAATATAGTTGATGTACAATATTATGTTAGTTGCAGGTGTACAACCTAGTGATATAACTTACAAAATGATCACCATGATAAGTCTAGTACCCATCTGATATACATAGTTATTACAATATTATTGACTATGTTCTCTATGCTATACTTTACATCCCCATGACTATTCTGTAACTACCAATTTATACTACTTTATTTTATTTAAAAAAATATATTTTATTGATTTTTTTACAGAGAGGAAGGGAGAGGGATAGAGAGCAAGAAACATCGATGAGAGGGAAACATCTACCAGCTGCCTCCTGCACATCCCCCATTGGGTATGTGCCCACAACCAATGTACATGCCCTTGACCAGAATCGAATCTGGAACCATTTAGTCTGCAGACCTACGCTCTAACCAGTTTTGGCTATTCTACTTACTTTAAAAATATACATTTTATTTATTTTTTAGAGAGAGAATCAGGAGTTAGATTCTGCAGTGGTGTGTTGTTTCCTCAGGCACAGGCCAGGGCCTTCCTGTGGAGGTTGGTGCCCCACTTGGCGAGTTGGCCAACTCATGGCTACTTCTCTGGCTGCCTCCGTTGCCAAAAGACAAGGACAAATCAAAGGGATGTGGGAGAACTGGGGCAGAAAGAGATATCTGAACCTTCAATAATTCAAGAAACGCTCAACCACCAAACAAGGGTATGTGACTGCTCTGAAAATATTTTACAGAAAAATGGCAAAGAAGAGTGAGATTTGGTGCCAGCCGCTTAGATGATGGGAATGGTGGGCGTGATAACACATGCCCTTACCTTCAGGGTCTTTGACGCTTCCCTGCGACTGCTCTCTGCTTCGCTGCCCTTAGTTTTTGGGCTGGTCACCTTAGCACAGGGGCTGGAGATGGGTCCATGGATGCACTTGGGAAGAGAGTCCAGAAACCCCTGAAATGTGGGGAAACTGGTGTGTCATTTTTTTTTTTTTTTTTTTTTTTTTTTCAGGAGAAAGTCTATTTTCATCAGATTTTCAAAATGCTTTTGGATCTAGAAAAAGTTAAGCACCCCCTGTCATAGTTCACCCCGCCTAGGCCAGCAGAAATCCCAGCCCAACCCCTTAGACTTGCAGACGACCTTCTCACAAATCCGTTCTTGGCCGAGCATTGAAGAGCACCCCACCCAGCCCCAGGTTCAATCCAGGTGGCTCATATATATATATATATATATTTTTTTAATTGATTTTTTACAGAGAGGAAGGGAGAGAGATAGAGAGCCAGAAACGTCGATGAGAGAGAAACATCGACCAGCTGCCTCTTGCACACCCTCTACTGGGGATGTGCCCGCAACCCAGGTACATGCCCCTGACCGGAATCGAACCCGAGACCTTTCAGTCCGCAGGCCGATGCTCTATTCACTGAGCCAAACCGGTTTCGGCAATATATATATATATATATATATATATATATATATTTTTTTTTTTTTTTTTTTTTTTACAAAAAAGCCCCCAAGCATTTCTCCCTTTATTGGCTCTCCTGCTTCAAAGGTTGCCCACCGAGCACTAAACAGTTCCAGGTAACCGTAAGCCCACAGGCTTTGGAGGTAGGTGGGTCTAGATCAGATCTCATTGTGTGACCTTACACATTACTTCACCTGCCTGTGCCTGGGAAGCAGCACTAATGCCTGCCACATGGACTTCATGGGCTCATGAAAACCGTGAACAGATGGTGTAACCATCAAATCTTACCCGGGTACACGTGTGACAACCTCTAAATGAATCAGTCAGTAGCACTCTGGTGCTACTCGTCTGGGGAGGTACCCCCTTGACAGAGGCTGAAGATTATATATGGGCATCTTTCTAGTCGACTGCTGTGGCCTTGATGCTGATAAAGTTTCAGTGAGTGCTCCTGAGCCCATTTTGCTGGAAGAATCAGAGGAGTCCAAGTGTTCTTTTGGCTGCATGACTTCAGAAAACTGACTGGTCAGAGGGTATAAACCTCAGTTATAAGACAGAGAAGTTCTGTGTGGGTCTAATGTATAGCATGGTGATTATAGTTATACTTGAAAACTGCAGAGGGATGATTTTTATTTTATTTTACTTTTAGAGAGAGAAACAATTTGTTGTTCTACTTATTTATGCATTCATTAGTTGATTCTTGTATGTGCACTGACCGGGATCGAATCCACAACCTTGGTATATCAGGATGATACACCAGCTGAGCTAGCCAGCCAGGGCTACTGAGAGATGAGTAAATGTTTTTATCACAAAAAAAGAAAAGCTGATTATGTGACATCATAGAGGTGTTGAGTAACAGTATGGTGGTAATGATTTTGCAATATATGAGAGCATCAAATCAACATGTTGTATATCTTAAACTTACATAATGTCATGTCAGTTATATTTCGGTAAATCTGGGGGGTAAAAAACGATCTGATCCTGAAAATTCTGTTTTTCTCTCAGCACATTTGTAGGTCGGCCACTCTGGCTGGATGGGGGGAGCTGTATGGACGAACTGGCTACAACTACATTTTCTCAGGTGACTGTTAAGCTGTGTCCTCTGTGACGTAAGAACAAGGGCCCAGTCATAGGGAATGGCCACCTCTAGCCACAGTGGCAGGTGGCATCGGTGGAGGGTGGGAGCAAGCATGGGAGAGGCTAGGTGCCTTTCGTCACCCAAGGAGAAGCCTGCCAGCATAGGGGGCATCTGGTGCTGAAAAGACACAAGTAGGGGTGGAGCTGGTGGGGGCAGGCTGGTCAGGACTCCCCTGGGTGGAGCCCCTGGATCCAGCGCCTCGGTGCTCACAGACTGTCTCTGGCAGGGGGTGCAGATGATGCCTGGGCGGACTCAGAGGACATCACAGAGGAGGACTGTGCTCTCCGGTCAGTGCCACGTTGGTATGGGTTTTGGGCTGGCGTTGGGGTCGGGTGTCTGACCAGTGGTGGCCCTTTTCAAACTGATTCAGATTCATCCTTGGTCTAGGTGAGTGGATGGCTCCTTTCCTCCCACACTAAGTCCATAATACAGGGTTGTTGAACTCCATCATGTGGCTTCACACCAGAGTGGACTTTATTGAATACATGAGCAGTCTCTCTTCACCCTGGCTCACATGAGGATCCCAGAAATAACGTCCTAGTCCAGACACCGGTGTGTGTGTGTGTCTTTAAGCTCTACAGTTTCCAGAGCGTGGCCAGGGAGGTGACGGCCAGCTTGCCTGCCAGTGTCACACAACACACTTGGTGCTGAGCCACAGGGTAAGCGCTTCAGTACCCACATGAGAGATGCAGAGAGAAGATGCTCCGTAGCTTTATCAGGTCCTCGCCGGTTTAGGTCAGTGGATAGAGCGTTGGCCTCTGGACCGTAGGGCTCTGTGTTCAATTCCAGTCCAGGGCACATAACTTGGTTCCAGGCTCCTCCTGACCCAGGCCCTGGTTGGGGTATGTGCAGAAGGCAACCAGTTGATGTGTTTCTTTCACATCAGTATTTCTCTCTGTCTTTCCCTCTCTCTCCCACTTTCTAAAAATCAATGGGAAAGTATTCTCACCAGAGGATTAAAAACAAACAAGTATTTTGGCCCCTGTAAAGGCAGGAAATGGGCTGCTTCACACTGTTCGTACTTCTTTCCAATTGTTCTTAGAAAACAGCAGTATAGGCTATTTTGGAAAAGCTCCTTTGCATGGTCTGCACCACATGGGAAGTCTTTAATGGGTATCAAGTGTCTCTGGAATGCACATGGGCACCCTCGCAAGATCAGCTGCCCAACATCACGACTCAGTCCCTGGAAGGCCTCAGCTGTGCCTGGGGTTCTGCCTGTGGCCCGAGAGCAGCGGCCTGGCTTGTGCTCAGGAATGTTTGGCTCTTCCCCCGAGATCAGCCAGGCCTTCTTCCACAGCTTATGCTTTTTGGTGAGGAGTCTGCTAAGGACAGCTAAGCAGTGGACATAAAAAAAGAATTAATGAGGACTGTTTGCTTATTCTACTTTTGCCTTAATCTGTGTGACTGATCAAAAGGGGATTAGGAAGATTTTTATCTTTCTCCTGGCTTCACAGGCCTGCTAAATAGAAGGAATTCAGTTGGCTAGTATTTCACATTCGGTTGATAAGATATCTTTAAAAAGTCCATCTGCCAGCAAGAATGTCAGTCTGTTCCGATATGAGCAAGCCACAGCTAAAAATAGTCACAAAGGTGGAGGGATATAAACTCTACAATGGAAGCTCAAATACTCTCAGCCATCAGCTTGCTGCTCTTTAGAACGTGGAGATTATCTTGGGTCTTCTGGCTTACTGTCAAGCAGGGCCAAAAAGCCTTTCCCTGGCTCGGGGCTGCAGCTTGCTTCTTTGAAATGCATCCCAGAGGGGTAACCTCTTAGAAAGTCACCTTCTCCAAATCTTTCCTAGAACCAGTTTTCCTGCCTTCCCTTCCCTCCATTTTCTGGAGAAGGGAAACAGGTTCTTGCCAATAACACCTGTATTTCTCTGAACAAGCTCACCAACCCCCAGTTCTTTTTTTTTGAATGAGCGTGTGCAGTGCAACTTCTCCTTCTGGCTCTTTGTTTCAGAAGTTCCGACACACATCTTTTTGATAAGGTCAGAGGCTATGACATCAAGCTGCTTCGGTACCTGTCAGTCAAATACATCTGTGACCTGATGGTAGAGAACAAGAAGGTGAAGTTTGGCATGAAGTAAGTACAGGGCACCCACTGTTAAAGGGGCAGAAGCGATGTGTTCACAGGCTTTTGGGTTGGTGGCAGGACGTTGCGGTTACTGAGGGCTCACCCCATGCCAGGCCTTAAGCTGAGAGCTTTCTGTCATCCTCACATTGTACCTTCACACAGCCCTGCAGCAGGCTCTAGTGTTGCCCATGTTGCAGGCAGGAAACTGAAGCACAGAGAGGTTAAATAACTTGCTCAAGTTCATCCAGGTAGTAACGAAGGAGCCAGGAGTCTCCAGCCTGTGCTCTGCTGCCTCCTCTGAGACACCCTTGAAGGTTTTCCTTTGGCTCCAAGTTCTACACAATCTCTGGTAGATCAGAGTCTCTTAAAGTGGGACAACAGCAGCAAAAACCGGTGTACATTCAATTTTTACTTTGCATATGCAGCAAATCTTCATGTGATAAGGCAGAACTTGAAAAATTGGAACTTTTGTGAGGGGGATGAAATTGTAGATTTTCTGGACATTTTTTTTTTTTTTTTTTTTATAATATTGACTTTTAATTATGCTGAGGTTGTCCTAGAAAATAAGGCATAAGCTCTCCAGATGCCTGAATGTCTCTTATCCCTCCTCCTTCATCTGACAAGACAGTCCTAAGTCTTTACCCTTGTTCTTGTTCCCCTGAACAAGGTGCTGCTTATTTCCCCCGTTTAGGAGTGTCCTCAGTGAGTATCAAGGTGAGAGCCCCCAAAGTTATTTGGCTCTCGTCTTACACCACATTTCATGTCAAAGTGGCTGTGCTGCCTTCACCTGTGGGACGTAGGTGGAAGGTTGTTCTGCAGATTTAGGTTCTGGTTGTGTTGCTGCAGTATTAGAGGGAGAGTAACCTCTCTCGCTTGATATGTTCGGGTGGGGGCAAGCTCCCTTTCTTAACTGTTCAAAGTAGACGCTGCTGAAGGAAACCATTGGTAACGCGAAAGAGGAGTTTGTTTAGCAAGAGGTTCTTTTACATTGTTACGGTACTCATTGGGGAGTGGTGTGTCTGTGTTGTGATGTCATAACACATTGTGTCCTGTCTTGTAGTGTAACCTCCTCCGAGAAGGTGGACAAAGCCCAGCGCTATGCCGACTTCACTCTCCTCTCCATCCCGTATCCAGGTAGGGAGTCTTCTCAGGGTCTAGTCAAGTGACAGGCTTCCAAGGACCCGGGGCTCTTGGAAGCCGTCGGAGGCCTTTTCACGTAGCGCCCCAGAGCTTTCTGGGAGGATCTTGTCGGTCAGCACAGCACACCGAGGCGGTCACCCTCAGGGCCGGGCGCTGTCCTGGAAGGGGCTTTCCTCTCCCAGGGGCCTCTCTGAGCCTGAGGCTTTCTCAGGTGTCATCTGGAGCTCAGTGCGGCTTACCTCAGGGTTTTGTTGTGAAGACGAGATGAGGTCATGTTTATCAGTGTGCTCTGTGCAGGCGAGGTAGAAAATGACGTTGTGAGTACTCAGAGTCACCAGTAAATCATGCGAGTCTGGCCCCAGTAAATCATGCTAGTGACCCTTTTGCAAGGCTCTTCTGATGGTAGAAGAGCATCATTGTTCTGCCCCTGGTTGCACGTAGTTGTGTATAGTTGGTGGTGGCTTCACCATGTTACTGAGCAATTTGATGTGCATAGCGTTGGCTAGCTGCACTTGTCTTCGGTGCACAGACATGCATGCGATCTGTGACCAGGGCAGTATTCTTTTTTTTTTTTTTTTTTTAATGTTTTATTGATTTTTTTACAGGGAGGGAGAGAGAGATAAAGAGCTAGAAACATCAATGAGAGAGAAACATCGATCAGCTACCTCCTGAACACCCCCCACTGTTCAGGAGGTAGCTGATCGATGCCCTTGACCGGAATCTAACCTGGGACCCCTCAGTCCGCAGGCCGATGCTCTATCCACTGAGCCAAACCAGTTAGGGCCAGGACAGTATTCTATGCACTGGATACTAAAGCTGTATTGGTCCAGTTGGTAACAGTTAAGCTAGCTGGCTATATCCGTTTGTTCAGCCAGGGAGTCCAAGGAGCCCCAACAGCAGTGTAAGACAGCAAACAGCAGGAAGTATACTCTTTCTTGCTTCTCAGCACCAGCCTCTGCCTTCAGTTCTGTGCTGGACCTTGTCTCCTCATCTTGGAGCCACATGGCCAATAGCAAGGGCAGGCCGGAGGCAGCAGGTTGCTATGTAGCCAAGAGGCCTTCTCATTAGAACTTCATCTAGTGCCTGGCAGGGAGAGTGGGTCTTCATCAGTGTAAGTTGCTAACCCCGGACGGCCTGGTACTTTTACAACGGCTTCCACCGCACTCTGCTCATTCTTCTCTGCCAGCGTAGCATTTGGTACCATGAAGAGCTGGGCTTGAGTCCCATCTGAAGCGCTGTGTATCCTTGAACAAGACCCTTAGCCCTTCTGAGCATCTGTTTCATTCTCCATAAAATGAAGACAATGGTGCTCATTGCAGGTTAAAGTGCCAGACCCACCCCTGACAGGTGCTTGGTGAACACCAGGCCAGCGACGGGTACCTGGGAGGAAAGACTCGGAGCAGCTCCTCTCCCTAAGAGCACGGTGGGCAGATGCAGACCACGGCAGTCATGCCAGGAGCTTGCCAGCAGCAGAGCTGCCTCCGGGCAGGAGTGTAACCAGGTGTCCACTCGAGCTGTAGGTAGAGCTTGGTTTCTGGCCAGGCTGTGGCTCCCAGGAGATGTTTGGGGGGACTTTTCTCTGCAGAAAAGTCCGCGTTGCCTGAGGAACCAGACGTTGCTTTCTTTGCTTATGTTTAGGTTCTAAGGACGTAATTACAGAAAGTTTTGGCAGAAGTTTCAAAACCACTACTTCAGAACAATAGCACAATATCCTTTCTGTGGTAGTTTAACAACTTGGTACAGGGCTCCCAAAATGTTAGCACCCTTTGACTCAGTTTTTCATTAGGCAGGCGGTCGGCAAACTCATTAGTCAACAGAGCCAAATATCAACAGTATAACAATTGAAATTTCTTTTGAGAGCCAAAGTTTTAAAACTTCTAACGCCACTTCTTCAAAATAGACTCACCCAGGTTGTGGTATTTTGTGGAAGAGCCACACTCAAGGGGCCAAAGAGCCGTATGTGGCTCTCGAGCCTCAATTTGCCGACCACGACATTAGGCCATAATCCTGCCAATTTGGGGTAAAGATGTTCATCACAGTGTCTGTTGATACCAACAAAATGTGGGAAATGTTTTCTTTAGTCAGAATAATGAATGTGTAAATGATGGTACAGCCTTTGATAGAATGGAATATTACATAGAGAAAAATGCTTTAACTTTTTCATGTGGAAGGATGCTTAAGATGCTAAGCAGGATACAAGATTATATAAAGTAGTCCCCCCTTATTTGTGGTTTCATTTTCTGTAGTTTTGGTTATCTATGGCTAGCCACTGTCTGAAAATATTAAGTGAAAAATCCCAGAAATAGTTCATAAGTTTTAAATTGCATGCCATTCTGAATAGTGTGATGAAATCTCACTGTCCTTCTCTGTCCTGCCCGGATGTGAATCATCTCCTTATCCAGCATATCGACAATATTTATGCCACCTCCACTATCAGATCAACTGTCATGGTGGCACAGTGCTTGTGTTCAAGGAACCATTATTTTACTTAATTATGGTCCCAACGCATAAGGCAATGCAGATATGCCAGAGAGAAGCTGTAAAGTGTGTGTATAGTACAGACACACTGTAGTATTATAGTACAGTTTCAGCTATGTAAGGGGAAAAGTGCCTACACAATGTTTATATACTACATCTAAAAATGTTTATATATTACATCTGATAGTTTATGTATTGAGGGGAGGGATTAATAAAAACAAAGCCATAAGGGACATATGTCATATTTTCAACAATAAAAATTTTTTAAAAATATATTTTATTGATTTTTCACAGAGATGAAGAGAGAGGGATAGAAAGTTAGAAACATCCATGAGAGAGAATCATCGATCAGCTGCCTCTTGTACACCCCCTACTGGGGATGTGCCCGCAACCAAGGTACATGCCCTCGCCCGAAATCGAACCCGGGACCTTTTAGTCCACAGGCCGACGCTCTATCCACTGAGCCAAACCGGTCCCGGCAATAAAAATTTTATTAAATAATAAATAAAGCCAAAGGTGGGAGAGTTGCCATTGCACATGCAGAAAAGGGGACAGGAGAAGCACTTTCTAAAATATATACATTTTTATTGATTTCAGAGAGGAAGGTGGGGAGAGAGAGAAACATCCATGATGAAAGAGAATCATTGATCAGCTACCTCCCGCACGCCCAACACTGGGGATCGAGCCCAAAACCAGGCATGTGCCCTTGCCCTGACCAGGAATCAAACCGTGACCTCCTGGTTCATAGGTCCATTCTCAACCACTGAGCCAAGCATATTTAATTGCTATACTTACATTCTTGAATTTCTTCACATGCCTGTATCACTTCATAAGAAGGAAAAGAAAATTACCGTTGTCCAAACTAAGTCATAAAATACACTTTGCTGAGATTGAGGAGTCTCGGCTGAGCCCTCTAGTGGCTTTGAAGCCCAGACAGGAACTGTGATGGCATCAGTGCCAGTTCTGTCCACCCAGCCTGAGCTTAGACTGGCCCTTGAAAATGGGAAGTGTTCTGGGAGCACTTCCTTCAGGGACCGAAATAGATGGGACGAAAACTCCCAGCATGAGTTTAATTTGTCTCCTTGAGTGCGGCTATTCTCGCCCCACTTTTGGTCCCATTCCTCTTGCCTCTCAGTATGTTCAGAAGCCTGTGCAGGTGATGGATGTTAGAAATTGCACTGGGTACTGAGTCTATTTAAATTCTTTATTTATTTTTTTCCTCACAAAAAAAATTGTTTCTGCATCCTAGGCCAGCCAGAGCGCTTCCAGAGCCTGCAGTGTTGATCTGAGCAGCTCAGGTTTGGGGGGAAACACTTCACAGGAGCTCTGAGAGAGAATTAAGTCTTCTAAACCTGGGCTCATAAGCTCAGGGCCTCTGTCTGATATTCATGTTCTTTCGCCCAGTGAGGTGCCCGGAATAGGCTGGAGTGTTAGAGCTGGGGATTGTTTACTGGCTTTGGAGTCAGAAGTGAGGTTTGGGGGATTAGAGTGCAAAGTGTGTGTGGGATGAGGGCCAACTCCATAAACATGTGACTTTCCTCTCCAAAGGAGCCTTTTCTTGCTTCCCTGGCTGACCTCAGATAGGACCTTGGCTCAAGAGTAGCTGGAGAGTTCCATGTTAATATTTTTGGCTTGTAGCCACTTCCACAGAATTGGAACAACTGTTTTGCCTTTGGGGACCTCACCAAACAAATCTGTTGCCAAAGCCTTGTGCCCTCCAAAGCGTGTGTTGTCCTGCTTGAGGAACTGAGTGACTTCAGGAAGCTTCTCTCAAGATGCCTTCTCCCATCCTTGTGGCTCGATGCCCCAGCAGCCCAAGGATGTCCCTGTGTTAGGTGTGAGAGCGAGCCACGTCCTTCCCGAGTCAGGCAGCTGACTGGAAGCTGCGGGCTGGCACTGCGGGCTCTTGTTGGAGCAGCAGCCGAAGCTCACGTGCTGCCATTTGAATGCCACTTGTAGCAGAGCTGTGCTAGGTGTTTTGTATGTGTTATTTCACTTTATCCTTAACCATGTTACAGATGAGAAAATCAAGGCTTAGAGAATTTAAACAACTTGTTTGCCATCCCAGAGCTAAGCTAAAAGCTGAGATTTGAAGCTGGGAACGTTGCCTAAGCCCTTTTCCACGTTTCCTCTCTACATTCCTGCGGATTCACCCTAGTGGAGTTCATCATTTTTCTAGCAAATGATACAGAAAGCACGTCTCGGCTGGGCTTGTCTCTTGAGCACCTGTCACACTGTCTGCGTCCTTTCCCGTCCGCCACAGCACTCAGCCCCCACTGAGAGCCTGCGAGTTTGGTGTCAGAGCGGAGGAGGGGTGATCTGTAACTACATAAATTGCCAATACGGTGCTGACAGGACTCCAGTTGCAGGCCATGTTTTTGTTTGCTGGCTGTTGACACTTCAGGGGCGTGTAGGACAGGTGACCTGAAACAGGAACGTTGTAACATCATTGAGTACAGATGGAGAGAGATACAGAGAGGTATGCAGGCAGGTCATACGTCCTTGGAAGGCATGTAACTGGAAACCAGACCATCTCTCACCTACCCATTCCAGTGTCCCCCCCCACCCCACCCCCCTGCCCCAGGTTCAACTGTGGCTTCATTTGGGGCCTACCATGTGGAGAAGCTGGTGGCCCCCTCGGTCCTACAGCACTCAGGGGCATCTCAGGAGCCTGGGCTGGAAAGAGTGGTGTCCTAACTCTGCCCTTCTTTTCCAGGCTGTGAATTTTTCAAGGAATATAAGGATCGGGATTACATAGCTGAAGGGCTCATTTTTAACTGGAAGCAGGTATGAACAATAATATTTGTCAACTTGGGTCTTATGTTTCTTTGTAAAGGGAGTCTGTGGAGAACAGCTAACAATCTTTTTGGAGAAAACAGGGACCTTTTCTCTCTTCTCTTCCCTAAATGAGTCTCATTTTTTCTCCCTTCTCCTCCTCCTTTTTCTTTTTCTTCTTCTTTTTAATATTTTATTTTTTTACAGAAGGAAGGGAGAGGGATAGAGAGTTAGAAACATTGATGAAAGAGAAACATCGATTTGCTGCCTCCTGCACACCCCCTACTGGGGATGTGCCCACAACCACGGTACATGCCCTTGGCCGGAATCGAACCTGGGACCCTTCAGTCCGCAGGCCGATGCTCTATCCACTGAGCCAAACTGGTTAGGGCTCTTCTTCTTGTATATACATGTTTACATTCACATTACATATACTTTCCTTTCCCCTTTAATGTCTCCTTTTCTGTAAAGGTGTTTTCAGGGACAAAATAGGAGAAGTCCTTTCTCTTTGCTCCACCATCTGTGTCAAGAGTGGGACCAGCACCCGTTCCTTCCCCAGTCGGTGCGAGCAGCCACAGGAGCCTGCGGGGCTGAGCACAGTCCATCACATCTGTCTCAAACGGAAAGCTCCGCTCAGCAGCAACATCCGGTCCCTTTCACCTTACGCTCTCGCTCCCAGCGCAGCACAGGCGTCTGGCTCAGAGGGCAAGCACTATGGAGGGACATCCTGGCTGCCTGTGGCAGCCACAGCTTCAGGGCCACAATTTGCCCTCAATCTCACAGATGTCTTTTCTGTCCCCAGGACTACGTTGATGCCCCATTGAGCATCCCTGAGTTCCTGACTTGCTCTCTGAACATTGACTGGAGCCAGTATCAGGTGAGGGGCCCGACTCGAGCAGGGCAGAGTAAGGAAAGGTGCCAAGGGGCGTGTGGTGCCAGTCCCTCGTGCAGATACATGGAGGCTGCTGGTGCCCTCTCCCCTTGCACTGCCCAGGGAAGGAGGAGCTGCTCGCCTGTGACTCTCCCTCCTGCTTTGCTCTTGGCCCAGAAAATCTAAGCTTTCTGAACGTGACTCAAACATTTGTGTCCACCAGGGGGTTCTGTTTCCAGTTCTGGGCTTTAGTAATTTTTTTTTTATTCCTTTTTCCTTTTAAATGTGTGTTCTGCCAGAGGAAGTGCAGAGCTGCCTGACCTCATGTAATCATAAAAACTTCAAAATTATTTCCATTGTGCTCCTCTCTGTCGCTGGCTACCATGGAAGAGGCCCTCGTCTTACTGGCTGGATCCATCTATCTACTGTGTTTGTCGCTGTACAAGCCCAAAGGCGTCAGCAGTTCCTTGTCACTTGCTCAGCCAGGACAAGTAGCCTAGTTCTCCCTCTCTGTTCCCTCTGCCTGGCTGACACACTGCCTTCAGGATTTGGCTCGGTGTCCATTCCAGGAGTACTTCCCTGATGTCCTTTCCCCCACACCTGGAGGGTCACGTACCTGTATCCTCATTCCTATGGACTCCTAGGCACAGTTATTAAGGAATTTTCCACTGAACTATGGTCACTGGGTTAGAGATCTGCTTCCCCGTCTCCAGTAGACAGAGCTCCAGGAGAACGAGCAGGCACCGCCTGTGCTTCCCCAGAGCCTCGAGCTGGAAAGACCAAGCCAGTGAAATCTGTCTCCCTCCTCCCTTCCTCCACCCCATCCAGCCCTGAGATCTCTCAGAGAGGCCCAGCCCACCTCTTAGGGAGCTACGTGCTATGTGGACTGTCTTCCTGGTAGCAGGTGGTGTGTAAAGGTAGAAGTGGTGCTACTTTTATCTTACACATCCAGCCCCCAATCACAGAGCAGACGCTCCGTGACTGGTGAACGAGAGTGGTGTCAGGTCTCTATGCAGGTGTTTCTACACACGCGTTAGGAACAATAGCAGGCCAGTGTTTGCTGTGCCCCAGCAGCCTGGGGAAGGGACAGGGTGGGGGCCCTGCTGCTTGGTCTCAAGTCCCAGACTGGACCTGGACAGAGTGAGTGGCCAGAGGAATCTGCAGGCTTCCTTCTTCCTTTATTATATGCAGAGGTCTCAAGTGGGCCCTACCCCAAGCCACATCTCCTGGTACATTCTTTCTCCTTATGTGGGTACAAACTAGATTGGATAAACTACTTACTCATCAAGTAAGGTGCAGCCGTAGGGGTTCGATATGTTGACACTGCCAAGGACATTTGTTTCTCTGGAAAGGAGTCCTGTGTGTGAGGAGTTCTGCTGAGTAGACAGAAGCCCTGGATCTAGGCCCCGGCTTGCTCAGCCTTTCCTGCAAGGCTCTGTGGCCTTGAGCAAGTGCCCTCAGTTCTCTCTGAAAGCGAGTTAGCGCCTATTTCAGCATTGTGGCGAGGTTCAAATATGGTCACTGTGAGAAAGTGTCCTTTTAACTGAAATGCCAGGCTGGTTTTTGTGATAATTAAGAACTAGGCTACTTACTGGCTTGCTAACTCAAGGGAGTGAACTCTAGTAACGTTCCAGGCACAAAAGGAGAAGTTCAGGGCTTCCTCTCAGGATTCCAGCCTTCCCAGTTGGTCTCACTGGGCCTCCTGCCATCCTCTTCCTCTGCCAGGTGTGATTTCTGGCCTTTCTGCCCCTTCACAAGGGGGTCCAGGACTCTCCATTACTCCTCATCTCATTCATCATTCACTCTTAGCCCACTGCCAGGCTGCTCAGGCCAGGCCTCTCTGGGTGATCTGCATCACCTTTTGCAGGTATCCCTCTGGGCAGCCATCTCAAACTCAAGCTGGCCAGACTGGCTCAGCCTACAGTGCCACCAGACCCGCCACCATTTACCTAGATGCTCAAACTTGAAAATTGGGTGCTTTTCTCCTCCAACACCCATTGCCATATCCTATCAATTCTTAAATCTCTGTCCCTGGTGAATCTCTCCGGTTCTTGCCTCCCTCTCTTAGCCTAGTCCAGGCCACTGTCATCTCAGGAGAATCTCATGTCTGAATGTGGGGCGCATTGAGGGGTTCTGGAAATGGTGGATGTAAAGCACTAGAAAAAGGCCTCAGAGCAACACTCACATCACGGGGCAAGGTCTTCTTAGTCATCCCTTCCCTAAAACCCACCAGTGACTTTCTTCCTTTCTCTTTCTTTCCATCTTTCTGAGAGGGAGGGAGGGAGGGAAGAGGGAGAGAGAGAAAGAGAGGGAGAGAGAAACATCAATGATGAAAATCATTGATCGGCTGCTTCCTGCACACCCCATATGGGGATCCAACCCACACCCGGGCATGTGCGCAATCACTGAACCACGCCAGCCAGGCCCCCCCCACTGACTTTAATCCAGGACCCTTATGTGGCCCACCCGCTCCCATGTCCCCGCCTTGTTCTTGTGGATGGCCATCCCCTCCTCCAGCCACACTGGCCTCCTTTTAGCCCCTGAGGGAAGAGTGCTTTCCAGGTTTGCATATGCTCTTCTCTCTGCCAGAAACACCATCCACTTTCCCTCTCTTTAAAAAAAATAAAAATAAAAATAAATATATATATATATGTATATATACATATATATATATTTATATATTTATTTATTTATATATATTTTACTGCCGAAGCCAGTTTGGCTCTGGGTAGAGCATCGGTCTGTGGACTGAAAGGTCCCAGGTTCAATTCCAGTCAAGGGCATGTACAGTTGCGGGCACATCCCCGGTAGGGGGTGTGCAAGAGGCAGCTGGCTGATGTTTCTCTCTCATCGACGTTTCTAGCTCTCTATCTCCCTTCCTCTCTGTTAAAAATCAATAAAATATATTTATATATATATATGCATATATATATATTTATATATGTATATATCTATTATTGATTTTTTGCAAAGAGGAAGGGAGAGAGATAGAAACATCGATGAAAGAAACATCAATCAGCTGCCTCCTGCACACCCCCCACCGGGGATGTGCCTGCAACCAAGTTACATGCCCTTGACCAGAATCGAACCTGGGACCTTCCAGTCCGCAGGCTGACGTTCTATCCACTGAGCCAAATCAGTTTCGGTCCTCTTTTTCTTTTTTTTCTTTTATATTTTATTGATTTTTCACAGAGAGGAAGAGAGAGGGATAGAGAGTTACGATAGAAACATCGATGAGAGAGAATCATTGATCAGCTGCCTCCTGCACACCCCCTACTGGGGATGTGCCCACAACCAAGGTACATGCCCTTGCCCGGAATCGAACCTGGGACCCTTCAGTCTGCAGGCTGACGCTCTCTCCACTGAGCCAAACCGGTCCCGGCCCTCTCTTTTTCTTACATTCACGTCACCACCTCCAAAAAGGGCTCCCTAATGGTCCCCTGGGTCAGGCTAGGCTAGGCCACCAACTCCATCGTCCCGCAGCAGCCAGAGGTCTTTTCATCAGTCCACCTGCAGCAGTTCCCTTTGCCTTCCCTCTCCTGCAGCCCTGTGAAGGCTAAGGTCATTGCTCACCACGGTGTCCCAGGGCCCGTGGTTCACCCATTGATGTCCACAAGTGGGAGAGTGCTTGGAGCAAGATGTGTGGTCTGATGAGCTTTCCAGTCGGGGAAGAGTACTCCAGGCACAAAAACATAAGTCGCCCAGTGCTCACCTCCACACTCAGAGACTTCACGGATCATGTCGGATAAGGGAGTCAGGTTAGCCTAAATATCAGTGCACTTCCCAGGTCTTCCTCTCATTCTGCAACCTCCTCAGACTTTTATTTCTTTGTTATTGTAGGAAAAGTCCCTGCAGTGTAGCATGTGACTAAGGATGTGAGCTTCAAAGTCCAGCAGGGCTGGGTTCCCAGCTCAGCTTAGCGCTGTGACCTTGAGCCTCTACAACCCACGCTCCCCCGCCTGTGGTTCCTCTCCCAGCACTGAGCTCACTGGGAATTTGCTGCCTCTCCCTGGTTGTCAGTGTCCCTTAGAACAACCGCCTGGTTCTGATCCTTGTTCGGTCCTGCCCACTCCTCGCGGCTGCAGACTTTCCCCAGCCCTCCTGACTTCCCCGGGCTTTGTGCTACGTATCTCCTGCCTCCTGCTCCTGCTTCTCCTCCCACTTAGAGAATCCTGGCTCTCGGGAAGCCTGCTGGCAGTGGTGTGTCTGACACGCTTGAGCCAGATGAGCGGAGACCCGTGCTCCCGCGGGTAATGGCTTTATTAGTGCAGCACCGTCTCGGGAGCTGCTGGAAGTGGGTCAGAACTCGCCAGGGGCCCTGGGAGGGTCACGTAAATGAGCCTGTTTTAAATTCCTGGGAAAACCACTCCAGTTACAGGTGCCGTGTTCGCCCTCCCCCCGGGAAGCACGCTCTCCCCGGCATGTCCGCCCTCTGCACGGCCCTGGGACGCGGACACACCGTTGTGTCGAGAGGCTTCCCCGCGTGGGGGAAGGGCAGAACTGGGTCGAGCCCCTCCGTGGAATTCCAGATCCGGGGGGACTGTTCCTAAGAGCGTCTGGGCTAGACCTCTTGGGCTAGAACAGAGGCCCAAATCTCTTTACAGCTTTTGCCTATTTTTCATCTCCCACCCCATGGGCTTCCTGTTTTATAAGGTTCTGTCTACCTAACAGACAGTATTTATAATTCATCAAAAGACAGGGTCTGCAGTGAGTAGCAGTAAAAAGCAAATGAAACATGGTTGATGAGAATCTTGATATTTTCCTTGGTTTCTGTGATGTGTTAGCAAATGAAGGAATGATTCTTTCTGTTTAGCAACAGTGGCCACCGGCTCACGGCTCTTTGTTCCCTTCTGTTAGTCCCCTGGAGAGCCACGTGGGGAGCCCGGGGCTGAGCGGAGGCCTCCGGATGACTGCTGCTGAGGGCGTGGGGCTGTGGGCTGCCCAGGCCTCGGCATGCCGAACCCTTCCTCACTGTCATGAGCAAGGGGGCCTGTGGGGTGAGGGTGCAGGAGAAGGTGGAAGGAGCTCTCAGAGCGGGGAGTGAAGTCTGGATTATCTGGTATTTGTGACCAAGAGTATTTGTTGCCCCAGAATAACTCAGCATTTTATTTTTTCTAAAACTTCAAACTCTCAGTCTGAGTTAAATATCTATTCTTAGATCCCTTTTATCTTTCTTCTCCTACAGAGCTGGGACCTGGTGCAACAAACACAAAACTACCTGAAACTGCTGCTTTCCATAATTAACAGCGATGGTGAGTCTGCCTCTGGCTGCGCCCTCAAGCCATTGGGTCCCCTGGCTGTTTCCAGGTCATGACATTGAGGATGTGTGTTTGCTAGGGCCGCAGAAGTGCATTTTGCTCTATGGTAGAAGGACTTGGGGATTCCCTTGTCCATTGGCAGCTTTATCCCATGTCCTTAAAACCCTAGAAAACACAATTACGAACTCGTTACTATCTGAACCACATACAGGATGTTTCTGCATGGCAGCAGCTGACCTTTGAGCATCAGTGTTTTTTTTGGGGCTGTAATGGCCTCTTTTAATTCAGAAAGATTAGAGAAAATCAGTTCTGACTACGAAACATCGATGAGAGAGAAGCATCGATCAGCTGCCTCTTACACACCCGCAACTGGGGATGTGCCCGCAACTCAGGTACATGCCCTTGACTGGAATCGAACCTGGGACCTTTCAGTCCGCAGACCGATGCTCTACCACTGAGCCAAACCGGTTTCGGCCAGTCCTGACTTCTTATTGGGCACATGCAAAAGGCCTTAGAGGACCAGTCAACCTATCCCAATTGGCTATTTTGATTGGATGTCTCTGGAGCATGATGACTTTTCTAATATCAATGAAGAATTCTGGCCCTAGCTGGTTTGGCTAAGTGGGTAGAGCATCAGCCTGTGGACTAAAGGGTCCTGGGTTCGATTCTGGTCAAGGGCTCACGGCTGGGTTGCGAGCTCTATCCCTACTGTGGGGTGTGCAGGAGGCAGCTGATCCATGATTCTCTCACATCATTGATGTTCTATCGTTCTCTCCCTCTCCCTCCCTCTCTGAATTCAGTAAAAATATATTAAGCCCTAACCAGTATGGCTCAGTGGATAGAGCATCGGCTTGCAGACTCAAGGGTCCCAGGTTTGATTCTGGTCAAGGGCATGTACCCTGGCTATAAGCACATTTCCAGTAGGGGGTGTGCAGGAGGCAGTTGATTGATGTTTCTCTCTCATTGATGTTTCTAACACTCTCTCCCTCTTTCTTCCTCTCTTTAAAAATACATATACATATAGCCGAGACTGGTTTGGCTCAATGGATAGAGCTCGGCTTGGGGACTGAAGGGTCCCGGGTTCAATTCCGGTCAAGGGCATGTACCTTGGTTGCGAGCATATCCCCAGTAGGGGGTGTGCAAGAAGCGGCTGATCGATGACTCTCATCGATGTTTCTAACTCTCCATCTCTCTCCCTTCCCCTCTGTACAAAATCAATAAAATATATTTATTTTTATTTTATTTTTTTTTAAATATATTTTATTGATTTTATACAGAGAGGAAGGGAAATAGAGAGTTAGAAACATCGATGAGAGAGAGTCATCGATCAGCTGCCTCTTGCACACCCCCTACTGGGGATATGCCCGCAGCCAAGGTACATGCCCTTGACCGGAATCGAACCCGGGACCCTTCAGTCCCCAAGCCGACGCTCTATCCATTGAGCCAAACTGGTCCTGGCCAATAAAATATATTTAAAAGAAATACATATACATATATATACATGTTAAAAAAAAAAAAAAAAAAAGAATTCTGTGAGTTTGCATTTGCTTGAACAAGTAGACTATATTAGCTTATATAACCAACCAGACCCAAGAGCATAGCCAAGCCCTAATACCACAGCGAACCTCTCTTTGGTTTTCATACCCATTGTCTAATTAGCTTCATGGCTTGCAACCCTTCCAGACTTGCTTCCTGCCATTGCTTCCTGCCATCTTAACTTCCCCAGAAGAGACTGCTTCTGTCCGAGCTCATGCTCAGTGGCCCAGTTTGGGTCAAGTGCCCATCTCTGAATCAGTCACTGTGGCCAGGTTTGCCGGAGTCATTCCTGTCCCTGGAGCTAGGCAGTGGTTCTCCGCCTGGGGTTGTACCGCCCCTCATGGTGGTTTAGGAAGGTTGGGTGTTTCAGGAACTAGGAAAGGGCCACTAGCATTTGGCAGGTGTTAGCCACGGATTCTAAATGTTCTCGGGACATTGAATTGTTTGGCCCTAAAATATTTGGACTACCCTCCCTGAGAAATGCCGGGTGGTGACATGCATGTCAGCCCCACCTAAATGACCTGCTTCCCTAAAAGTACCCTGAGAACCTGCAGCCGGAGAAAGAAGAGAGGGATGCTGCACACAGATGGGTGCCCACCCACCCGTCCCTTTGTGGGACCAGATTGGAGAATCCTGGGGCGGAAGAGGGAGCCCAGGGGTGGCCTGGCTCTCACACCAGGCCAAGGGAGTGGTATGTTTCCTCCTCATCCGCTGTGTTTGCTTCTCTTCTGGGCCTCTGCTCGGTGGTCGGAGTAGATGACAGTGGGCTGCTGGTGCACTGTATCTCAGGCTGGGACCGGACCCCCCTCTTCATCTCCCTCCTGCGCCTTTCCTTGTGGGCTGTGAGTATGACGGGCTGGGCTGGGGCAGGGAGGGTTTGAGGCCCCCACCACGATCTACCCTTTGGGAGTGTTCGGACTGTCTCCCGAAAGAAGGTTTGGAGTAAGGAGTCGTGATGAACCCTTTTTCTGGGGCCCCTGGGCAGCCTTGTTGTCACTGGGTTTGTGGTTGTGATTCGGCTTTGTCCCGGGAAGGCATCTTTCTGATGTTGGCACGTCCCCCTGGCCTCTTCCAGGACGGGCTCATCCACACGTCCCTGAAGCCCGCTGAGGTCCTCTACCTAACTGTGGCCTATGACTGGTTCCTCTTTGGGTAAGCCTGTGGGGAAGGTCAGGTTTGGGAGGGGGCAGTGCCTGGAGAGCTGCTCCTGTGTGTCCATGGGTGCAGTGGCTTCTGTGATAGGGTGAGAGGTGAGGACGCTCCCACCCTCTTGAGAAAGACTGAGAGGTGCCGGTCAGGCCCCACCTGCGGCTGGTGTCAAAGCCACAGTCCCTGGGACTTGGGTCCCCCGTTGCCCTCCTGCCTCAGCGCCGCTTGTCTTTGACCTCCTTGCCTTTCTGTTGCAGGCACATGTTGGTAGATCGGCTCAGCAAAGGAGAGGAGGTGGGTACTGCTCACAGTCTGTGAGCACATGCCAGGGCTCTGAGAGCTTGGGCTCTCACCGTCAGAGGGACAGGATGGCGGTCTGCGTGGTACCCACACTGTAGGAGCAGGTGCTTTCCCAGCGTGTGCTGGGATTAGGCAGCATGGCAGGAAACGCCCCAGCACAGCAGCCGCATTCTGAACCTCTGCCCCAGGAGATAGCGGTTGTCCACACGCTCCCTGTGGCCTTCCTGTGGCAGCTCTTTCCCCCTTCCTTCTGCTGCCTTCCTTACGCGTGACCTTGTTTCCTGCACTCAGCTCGAGCCAGTTTACAGGTCCTTTTCTGTGCCCCTTATCCTTCTGCTGAAACCAGATGCTCTTCCCTGCCCCCCACTTTCATCACATTCAGCAACTTTTAAGCCCCAGGGCCATCCATGCCTTACCCCTCACTCCCCGCCCGGCCTGGACCAGGCCTGGCCAGCTGGGCTCCCGAGCCTGCTTCCTGTCTGAGGGATTGTCCCTTCTTCCCGCTCTCTCTGCCCTCACCATCTGTTTTGCTGTTTTTCACAGTATTTGCCTTTTTGGGTATCCTTGTTTTCCTCATTCACAGATTGAGAGTCAGACCTGAGTTTGAATCTGAATTGTCCCACTTATTACCTGGGTGACCTTGGGTAATGTGAATAACCTTGAGTCTTCGGCAGTCGTTCATGCTACCTCACAACGAGAATGAGTGCATATGCCCAGCGTGGGAGCCGTCAGGCAGCGTTAGTTCTTTTTCCTCTGTCCCCGTCCCCGCTTAGAATCCTGAAGCATCTTTCTCACTCTCCTGGGGTGCCTTCTTTCCGGGCATCTTATCTTGTGCCTCCTCCTTTTGTTCCTTCTCCTAGCTGCTCCTTGCCCCTTCCTAATCTCTTCCTCCCGGCACTTATCGCATCTGCCAGGGCTGCAGAGCTCATGAGCCAGCTCCTGGGAGGCCTCTGTGAACTCTGTTAGAGGCATTGCCTTTGGCGTTGAAATTGACAGGTGAAACCCCTCTGATTCTTGTTTTGAGACTCACTGATGCTCCAGGGCATTCTGCCCTCCGTGTCTTCTCCCAAACCCCCAAAGCAGGCCAGGCTCTGCCTTCAGAGACTCCACACAAGATGAGGCTAAGCCCTGTGGGGTCTGGATTTAAATCCTGGCCATGTCTCAGCGTGTACAAAAGGTCTCCTCAGCTGGGAAGGTTGGTCTTCAGGGTGTGGGCTTTTCTCTTACCCCCACCACACACGCGAGACATTGATACTTTTTGCTGCAGCAACCCCTCAAGATGAGGAGCCCTCCATGGCCTGGGCCTCTCCATCTTTTTGTGGGGGGAATGAAGGAGATGGTGGGTGGGGGAGGGGAGGGACAGCTGCTCTCTTGAGACAGAAATATGCAGGGCAGCATTTTATATGTAACAGTTAGAATGCCTGCTGTTTTTATAATTCATAACCCTTGTTGAGGGTACCTGGGAGGTGGGGTAAGAAGAGTTTCCATTTGTCCAGTAGGTTGCTTGGTAGGGGCTGTTGATCTGGGGGCAGGTGCTGGCGAGCTTGTGACAACCAGCCCATTGGTGTTGGCGAGTTAACTCAGAGGGGACCTCGTACCCCTGGTCCCTGAGGGTCAGACTCATCCCCGGCAGGTCTTCTCTGACTGAGGCCTCCCCTCTGCCCTTCCCTGCCCCATTCCCAGCCTCTGGTCAGGCCCATTCTTAACCTTACCCATCAACTATTTTAAGACACCTCTGTTTACTAGCCCGCACCCAGGCAAACATGCTCACAAATCCAGCTTGTATATTAGGCAGATTAGACTTGACATTATTTAAAAAAAAAATTAAAAAAAAAAATGGAAGGGAGGCATTGATGCTTTAAAACATAAAAACAAAAAACAGAGGCCTATTAAATAACACTCTTCATCTCCCTTGTCTTTGAGATTCACAGCACATTAGCATATTAAAGACTAAAAGTCCTTGGTGAAAGCACCTATTTAATGTTATATAATACAACATTTTCATACTGACCTGATGTTCCCTCTTTTTTCTTTGAGAAGATCATATGGGCTCTCAGACTACATGGACTACACTCTTCAGAATCACTGGGGAGTTTAAAAACTGCAAAGACTGCCTTGTGTGCATTTAGTGGAGGTCCACCTGACTAGGGTGATGGCTGGGGGAGAGAAGGTCGGTGGGGCTAGTCAGCAGCCTTCTCCTGTCTGCCCACCTCAGCCTTAGACCTGCCCCTCACAACTCTGAGCAGTGCAGGCTCTGGGCTGGACAGTGGCTGTCCTTCCCCCCTGTTTCTGAGCCACCATTTCTGGGCGCGACCCTACCCAATCTGATTCCTTTCCCTTCTGTTGTGTTCCTTAATTGGTGTTCATTTAATCTCCTTGACTGAAAATAATCTGTCCCAGCTTTCCTCTGTTAGCCTCTCCCCCGGGGTTCTTGGGGAGAGGCAGAGAGGGGAAGCTGCTGTGTTCTTCATCCCTTTCTGTATCTTGAGAACACGCATGTTGAATTTGAGGAGCGTGAAAACCCGTGGCTTACTTTCTTGCAGTCCTGTCTTCCCTCACCCCAGCCTAAGTGCATTTGTGTAGCCTGCTAAGCCCTCTCTACCACCCATACCATGTACAGACCAGAATACCAGCAGGGTCCCCAACAGGGCTGCCATCCAGCAGAGGGCTGACGAGGGGGGCTGCCTGCGCATTCTGGCCCCTAGATTCTTCTCTGGAGAAGGCTATGTTTTCATGAGTATTGCCTTTTGTTTCTTTAGATTTTCTTCTTCTGCTTCAATTTTTTGAAGCATATCATCTCTGAGGAGTTCTCTTCTCTGAAGACACAGAGGTAAGAAGCCTGCTCTCTCACACTGGGACCAGGGTACTCTGGGAAGAGCCACTCTGTGCAGGCAGGGTCCTGTTTGCCACCTTACCCCTGCCCTGCTGCCCTGCATGCTCGGTAGGCTGGCTTTTCTGGCCTTCGCTCTGAGGCCAGGGGCCGGTTCTGAGGTATAGCCACGGCCAGCCTGCAGCTACACTGTCCGATAGGCCTGGGGACAGATGAGTGGTCTCTGGGAGCGAGGAGAACAAGGTGATTCACTGTGGGAAAAGGCAGCCCAGGACAGGAGGACTTCTGATGCCCACACCCCAGCAAAGCAGCCAGTTCCCAAAGGCAAGAGGATTGTTGCCTTCCCTGGGCCACTGCCAGCAGAGTCTGCTCCCAGCCTGGCAGTTGCCTTAGGACCCCGGTGAGAGTTGGCTTTTCAGAGTTCCCTTGCCTTCCAAAGCCAGGCTCCCAGTGTGCTTGGCCAGGCTTGAATTCTTAAGGGGCCACACTGACGGGGAGGAGGCGGCTTGGCCGGAAGTGGGCCTGGTCTTTTGCAGCACTCTCGGTAGACCTGACTCCATGAGTTTGCCTCTGTGGGTTGGAGTTTCTCCCCCAGGTAGGCAGCACGTGGGGGAAGGGACAAAGGAGACCCAGCCCAACCCGGAATTCACCATTTTGGGGTCTGTTTACAGGAGGAAGAGTTTACCAGCCCGGGATTCAGGCTTCAACCTGGACGATATCTACTCGCTGAGTGAGTCACAGGCCCTGGCAGATTACCCTTCCTCTGTGCATCTTTCTCAGTATAGACCACACAGGAATTGTTTGTTCTGGAAACTTCTTTCTCCAGTTCCATGGTGTGGAAGAGGTGGGGGGCCTGTCGCGGGAGAAGATAAGTGGTGAACTGATGGCATTGGCGTCTTTCAGGACGAAAGGACCGTGGCAGCACCACCAGCCTTGGCAGTGACTTCTCCCTGGTCATGGAGAGCTCCCCAGGAGCCGCGGGGAGCTTCACCTATGAGACCATAGAGCTGGTCCCTGCAGGAGCACAGACTCAAGCAGCTTGGTGAGGGGCCAGGCTGGAACTAAGCTTGCTCACAGCTGTGGCCCAGGGTCACCAGCTCCGGGGAGTCGCAGGAACAAAGGGGCCGGTGACAGTAGGACTAAGAGCACAGCTCCACGCCCTGCTGTCTCTCTAGGCCGTGGAGGCCAGCCATCTGGTCGGTGAGGGCACTGCCTGTGGTGGCCCAGGAGCATGAAGGAGATGCGACGGGGCTGGGGGAGGGAAAGCTGGATGCTAAAGGACTCCCTGAGGAACTCCCTTGTCTTTTTTGCCTGAGAAGTGGGGGGGCAGGGAGGAGGAAGTTTAGAAAAAAGAAGAAAACGGGTGAGTACAAAATGATGATTGGGAATTGGGGACTTGATTTAACTCCTTTAAGAATCTGATGACTTTCTCCTTAGACAAATGGCTCAAGATTTTGTGTAACATTTGGAGGGAAGGGCCTTGACTGAACTTAGTTAAGAATCTGTTTGTAATGTGCTCTAAGGCCAGTAGGCATTCATTGGATGCCACGGTTTTTCCGTGAAGACCCTGCTCTTGCTGCCCGTGGCTGAGCCTAAGGGAGCACTGATGTGTGCCCACTCCCACGTGACATTTTCCCTCTGGAAGTAAAGACTGGGCCCCCAGATTCGGTGAAAGTAGGCCAAGGGCTTGCATGGGGCAACCCCTTGGCCAACAGCCCTTCTCTTTCCACTGCAGGAGGAAGAGCCACTCGTCCTCCCCACAGAGTGTGCTCTGGAACCGGACGCAGCCCTCGGAGGACCGCCTGCCGCCTTGCCATCAGGGGCTGATAGAAGCCAAGTCTTCCAGCTCCTCCTCCTCAAACCATTCTGAAAACTTTTTCAGGATAGGTAGCAGTCCTCTGGAGGTCCCCAAAGCCAGGTGAGGAGCTCCAGAGCCTCTGCTGGAGGAGGTGGCTAGCCCTCCCCTATCAATAGGGCTGGAGAGGAGGGTTCCAGCACCTGAGGCGGTGCTTCGGATGCAGTCTTAGGGCAGGGTTCCTGGCGTGCAGCCTGGTGGGGGTGCACCAGGAGGCTAGGGGAATTGACAGCCTTGGAGACCAGCTCACTGTCTGGAGGATGGGTTAATGTTTGGGTACAGAGCAAGAGCTGTTCTGTAGGGTGGCTTGAGACTCCTTCCCGGAACCCTGGCAGGTGGGGAATTCAGAAGGCTTAGTGGTTGTGAGGAGATGGGCAGAGTCGGGGCTGCCTTCACCTGTTGCCTTTGGTAGATCTCAGCCCACTACCCCACCCCCTTCCCTGTGGACCTCGCATTCTCATGAAAGAGATGGCTCTAGATCCTGCATCTCTCCTGGCTCTCACATTCTGTGTCTGAATCGGTGGAGCAGTGAGGAGAACAGATACTAGGGAGCAGGCTGGACATGTGAGGCTGGGCGAACTTCAGGAGACTGCATCCCTGGAACGGGAGCCACTCAGACCGGTGTGGCTGGATTTGCTGCAGGAATGTTGTCTCCTAGATCAGATTAAAGCTGAGCGCAGGCAGGGCTTAGGTTTGAGGGATGGTCTGACACTTGGGGAAAGCATTTCTGAGCTGATTTCATACCTCATTTTTCCATGTCATATCCTGGGGAAAGAATTCTGTGAACTGCTTTGTTTTCTAAAGCCTTAAGAATATCTGACCCTTCTGGAGAAAACAAAGCAGTGTGGGACTTAGGAGGTCCATAATAAATTCTAGGGAGAAATGGGCATTTCAGAAATATCTTAAGTATTGAGTGTCAACCTACCCTGTTTCCCCAAAAATAAGACAGTGTCTTATATTATTTTTTTCTCCCAAAGTTGCGCTAGGTCTTATTTTCAGGGGATGTCTTATTTTCAGGGAAACACGGTATGAACCAGGAGGTCATGATTTTATTTCCTATCAGGATTTCCTGTCAGGATGCCTGGGTTGCAGGCTCAATCCCCAGTAGGGAGTGTGCAGGAGGCAACCAATCAATGATTCTCATCATTAGTGTTTCTATCTTTCTCTCCCTTCCTCTCTGAAATAACACACACATACACACACACACACACACACACACACACTTGAAAAATCAATCAGTAAATGAACTTTAGAAAGTAAAAAATAAGTAAGGAGAGTAAGTATTGAAGTCCACTCTGGACTTGGGCCTAGTCTGCCTGGCTTTAGGCCTTTATTGTAACAGGCCTATATATCCAGGAGGAAACGAGGAGCCCTAAAGTCACAAGCATGTTAACAAGGAAAAACCCAAAACTTGTGGAACTCTCCTCTCACCACCATCCTCTTGTTGTTCTCTGTGGGCGAAAGCAGGTGATGGGGAGAGCCCCTCCCCACGTAGGCAGAGCGGAGCAGATCGGTGGGAGAGCTCCAGATGGAACTGTTCGGATGGGTCTTGGGCACTCACCTCGGAAGGTGAGCCCTTCAGCTTGGAGCACTAGCATGTCTGCCTGTGCTGTAGCTAAATCTGTTAAACAAACCATAATCTCTGACCACATGGGAGAGCTGGAGGGCACTGAGCAAGCATACCTGTGCTCGTTCACATCCTCCATGTATGCCCACTGCCGTGCACCTTTGTCTGCATGCCCAGGTTTCCTGGGGCAGGTCCAGAGCTGCCGCAGCTCTGTGTGACCCTCCCTGTGCTGGGCTGGAGTTCTTGCTCATCACCTCTGCCTTCTTTCTGTCTGAGGACAACTGGAAGGGGGACAGAAGATTGGTCTTGACCTCTGAGGCCTTGCCCCAGCCTTTTATTTTATTTTTATTTTTTAAAGAATATATTTTTATTGATTTCAGAGAAGAAGGAAGGAAGGAGAGATAGAAACATCAGTGATGAGAGAGAATCATTGATTGGCTGCCTCTTGCACGTCCCCTACTGGGGATCGAGCCCACAACCCAGGCATGTGCCCTTGACTGGAATTGAACCTAGACCCTTCAGTCCACAGCCCATGCTCTATCCACTGAGCCAAACCAGCTAGGGCTCTGCCTTGGTCTTAACTGTCCAGCTGCTGGGGGCTCCCTGCTGACGCAGAAATCCATCACTTCTTCCTACACTGAGCTTTATTCCCCCCCTTCTTCCTGCCCATAGAGTCTCCTGTCAAATCTTGGGATTATTTCCCTGAGTCTCAGTGGTGGTTCTCTGCTTGACTGGGCCACTCAGACTCAAATGGCCAGTCCAGGATAGCAACCAAGGCCCCTCCCTCGGAGGCTGAGAAGGGTTGGAATGTCCTCGGGCTCCTCAGCCCTGTGTGCCAGGGCCTGGTTGACGCTGGGACAGCTGGACCAAAGTGGGACACACAGCCTTAGAAAGGCGTGAGGTGGGCTGCTGTGAGGTGTTTGGTGACACTGCCGGGCTATTCTGGGAATGCCCACTTGGAGCCTGCCTGGACTGGCCAGGCGACAGGGTTCTGAATTTGATGCCTATTTTGAAATACTAGATTATTCAGATTTGGAGCATTCTAATTATGTATTTCCATTAACATTAAAATTAATTTAGTCTCTTTTATCTAAAATTGCCTGAGGGATCCTGTCATTAGCTGCCCTGCCTTGCCTCTCTTAGGTAACAACAGCCAATCAGCAGAGGAACTGCATGGAAAGAAACCCTTTAGTAAAGCTATCTGTGGCAGCCAAAATTCCTCTCATAATGTGAATTCTCTGGGTGCTCCAAATTCCACAGTCTATCTCTTTTAAAGTAGGACTTCCCTATAAAGGGAATTGGTAAAGCTTTGTTCAAAGTGAAGAAGTTAGGTGTCAGGTTGGGAAGAAACTTTGTGGGGGTACTGCTCTGTACCTAGCCCTAACCCATACCCTTCATGAGGAATCCGTGGCCTTTTTGCATCATTAGCTGCCATTGCAACAGCTTCTGATTGAGCTGCATTTCTGGATGTTAATCTCTCATTAGCTACGGGGCTGGAGGCTGGATGCTGGAGGTTGGGAAGAGGCAGTGCCAGTGCTCCATGCTAATATGCCCCCCAGGCCACAGGTAGTAAGCAGCCCCGCTCCATGTCACCTTGACCTCTGCTCCCGCATTAGACATCTTTAGGGGTGCAGGGTTGCTAGCACAATACTGTCCATGCCTGAGGAGGAAGGGTGCTAGCACTGCGCCCAGCATGAAGCCAAGCAAAGCCTGAAGAGCATATGAACTTGGCTGAGGGTTACCTAGCAGCCTGGTTAAATAGCTAAGTAGTAACATCGGAACCAACTCTACTTCCCAACTACCTGCTCTTACCATATCATCCACCACCTACTAACTGCTTATGAGAAGCAGTGAGCTCTGTCCCAGGCTGTGTTTAATGCAGCAGAGAAACCAGATTGCTTTCTGCAATCCATAGGGCTCCTGTCCCTAGGTTTGATGGGGCCACAGCGCCAGGCCCCAGATGAGTGTGAGAAGCCTAAAGGCATCACCAGCTCGAGATCCTGAAGAGAAAACGTGGAGTTCTAAAAGACCTCTCTGGATTGCGGCAGAAGTTCAGAGGTCCCTGCTTGGTCCACATACATGAGGGTATATATGTGCTTATGGTTAAAGGCCCAGCTGGGAGAAAAGGATGTTCCTTTTTTTCAAATGTAAGAAATCCCATTTAGCCGTCTCTAAAGCCAATTTCTCTATGAATTCAGGCCCTTGTTGAATGAAGGATTCTTCCCTTAAGGCCCCATTCCTGGAGGCATTCATCTGGTAGAGGCTGTGAGATCTCACCTGGAGGCTTAGGCTTTGGTGGGGGTTGGTATGTGGATTAGGTAACACCCAGCCCCCTCAAAATAAAACATTCATTCCCTGCAGGACTTCAGACGTGCCATTTAATGGTTTTGGGATTCTAATTTCTCATCAGAGACTTAGGCAGCTCCCAGTTCCTTCCTTCCTATGTATATTCAAACCTTCATCATCAGCCATAACTCAGGTGTGACAGCAAAACCATCTCACAGGGGATTAAACAGTAAAGAAAAATAACGGTGCATGTGGAAAAGTACAATGGAAAAGGCAGCCTTTGGTTCTTTCCTCTTGCCTATTCCTATATGTTATCTTTGCCTTCTATCCAACTTCACTAATGGTGGCCACCCACTCCTGGGACACCCTGCTTCCTTTCTCACATCCAAGGATCACATACTCCCCTTTTTTCCATCAATAGATCAGAAGCGCTATGCTTTAGTCCAGTTGGAAGGTATGTGTCCATCACTGAAGCAACCCCTGAGGTTCCTACCAACCATTCATTATCAGGAAGAAAAATCAGTGTATTATGGAGCTAGCATTGGTTTTGTTCAGACCTTTTGTTCAGACCTGAGTTTCACTTCTAGCTTTGTGACTTGGAAACATTCTGAGCTCAGGTTTGTTTTGTGTTGTTTTTTTTTGCCAGTCCTTGGTTTACAGGGCTTTAGAAGAGAATAGGGAATTTTACATAAGTGAATTTTAGAAATAAATGAAAATTTTGTCGTATTGCCAAACCTTGGCCTGTTTCCATGTATTTTTGATGGGCAGGATTCTAAATGCATTACTGACTGCCCTTCTTTTTTTATTTTTCAGGTGTACAATCCAGTGATTATACGTTTATATAAATTAAGAAGTGGTAACCCCACTAAATCTAGTACCCATCAGACACCATATATAGTTATTATAATATTATTGACTATATCTCCTATGCTTTACATTCCCATGATTGTTCTGTTAACTGCCAATTTGTACTTCTCAATCCCTTCACCTTTTTTATCCATCTTCCTGTACCCCCTCCATCTGGCAACTATCAAAATGTTCCCTGTGTCTTTGAGTGTTTTTCGTCTGCTTGTTCATTTATTTGGGTTTTTTGATTCTACATATACTAGCAAGTGAAATCTTACGGCATTTGTCTTTCTCTGTCTGACTTATTTCATTCAGCACAATACCCTTGAAGTCCATACATGCTGCCGATTGCTACATTTCATTC